CTCCAGCCATCCACTAGCAGGGGAAATAGAGATTGGACAGGTCAGGGAACCTTGTCTGATCACTGTTGTTTGCCTATGTTAAGCTGGTACAGGGAGATGTCTTCACAATTCTCCCCAGCCCTCCCTATAGGCTAAAAAAGGTCAAAGTTAGGGATCTTGGTGCAAACAAAGACTCTTGCTGGTATGTCAGACTGCACTCTTGTGTCTATGGGCAGCTTTTTGACATGAGCTAATGTGAATACTATAATTGTTTGGGATGGGGCATTTGTATTTATTTTATTTTTTTGATCATACTCAATCTTTGTTTTACAAACATTTAATACACAATTTAGGATTTTCAGAGAACTATAGGTTAGCTAAAAAGTCAGCACAGCAGTAATGCTTTCTTTTCATGCAGCCATTCAATTTGATGCGCTTAACTTGTTCAATTGTGTATGTGCAAATTTCAGTTTGAGCTATTCAGCACTGTAAAAACTGTTGCTTCAAAAAAAAAAAAAAGCAGAGGAGAGGAAAACATTAAAAGAAGCCTCTGAAGCTCTATCAAGCAAAAAACAATATTCACCTACCATCTCATCAGCATCTGTATCTTCATCAGTTCTACTCAAAGCATTTTCAACCCGAGCTAGTCTTGTGGTCAGGCAGAAGAGCAAGCTCACCACTTTCTCCAAGTCTCCGATAAACATCATGTAGCGCTCATACTCATTGGGTTTACAGACCTCTTTCACCACGACTTCCAAATCTGTACCGTGAGTTGTGTTATCACTGATCTCAGACAGAAGTGATTCCCTTTGGGCAAAGAGTTCTTCCAGTTGAGAGTTTATGTGGGACATCAGTTCCATCTGAAAGAGTAATATAAAGAAATATGTAAACAAAAGTGATGTCCTATCAAACAATTAAGGAATGATTGCTTTTTCCTGAGCAAACTGGGCATCCCCAGCTTGTTTCTGAGACTCATTATGTATTAATATACTAAGCCTCCTCTTCACAGACATCCCAGGTTCCTCCCAAGTAACTTCCAGAATTTTCCTGCCGCACCTCCTGCTGGTGATATGTGGTTATGTACACACAACCATAAAATAGTGCAACCCTATCTGTTAGATATTGTATTACTATGGTTAGAGCGCAGTCCATAAAGCACTGTTTCCACGGTTTACAAATGGATAGTGAGAAGGGAGGCCCCCTCTGTTTTTATCTTGGGAGAATTCCAAGCAAGTATTAGATGTTCTTTTTAAATCTCATTTAATTCTGATCCAACCAGTATTGTTACTAACCTTTTTAGAGGTGATCTCATTCGGGCACTCATCAGACTTCCTCTGAAGCAGCAGCATAGTCTTTGAATGCGATTTGGACATACCTTCTAGATTCATCCTATCGGAAATAAACACAGTACATTATACTGGCAGTATATACTAAGAGAAGGTTGAAGTTAGTCTGTGTACTATGAAAAAAATTATGGAACGACTGTTCGAATGGTAGGCTGTTTAATCATAAGTCAATAGTTCAGTAAAATGTAGAATAATAAAAAAAGAGACTGCTATTGTTTATACTGGAAGTCTTGATTTCAAATATAGTCCCAGAGCAGAATTCTAAATATGTGCAGCTTGACATACTCCAACATATTCTGCCAAAGAAACCAGAAACCATACGAATTACAGATTGGTTTTACAGTCCACGGTACCACAGGGTGCTAGCTTATTTACACAAATATTTAGGACATTTTTATTTTTGTATCAACTTCCCCAAAATAATATTTTAAGGTTAGCCAAATACAAAAATGAAAAATATGTTTTGGAAAAATAATAATCAGAAACATTATGTGCCCATTCTAACTAGTGTGGTAATGTGCTTCACAATTGACCACGTTACCCAAAACACATGTCAATACACGCAACACAGTGCCATTCTTTCTGACGGACACCCCAAAGGACTGTTACAGTAGAGAGTGACACAACTGCACTGCAGTGCACCACAATCCACATGCTCTGTGGTGCGGTGCAGCGTAATTAAAAAGTGATATACTTTTTCAGAAGGAATGTACTACTTCAGCTTAGCACACAGCAATGCAGATGAAGCAAACCCAATGCATACTGTGAATGGGCCCTTAAACATTGTTTAAAACAGAATTCAAATAATATGATATTATAAAATAAATATCTAGTAGTTGTCTATGGCAAATTACCTTTCCACCCAATCAATGTCTGAATAAAGACCCAAGTGAATAATCCAACTGTATACTGACCACATTGATGAATGTTTACGGTCAACTGCTTCAGTTTTAACTTCATAAAATCTAGAAATTGGGCTTGGCCATAAATATACATCCATAGGTTAAAATCTGGCTTTACACAAGCTGGGTTATACTTCATAATGAATAACTCCATTAAAAAGTTAAAGGGTTAGACTGCCCAAAATGAATATTTCAGTTATGGTGGATGTAGGAGGCCCAAGTTATACCACACACATGCCCTGTCACTACAAGTGTTGTGTCTGGGTAAATTCTGATCTTTTTATTGTATTCTATGTGAACATTGAGCCTTACAGATGAGCTTACCTAAACACCCAGGTATGTCAATTAACAAACAGTATATTGATCATTTCAGTGTGTTTAGTGTTCAGATCAAGTATCAGGACTAGTCTGTGTCTGAATAAGTTTAAGAGCTAGCAAACTGTCCATAAACGACTTACTTTTCTTTCTTTAGTCCCCGATTCCGGCATTTCTCCTGTACAGAAATATCCACATGGAAGAGGTTTTTCATGAGACTGATTGCAGATGCCCTCATAGGAAGGGGTTTTAGAATGTCTACCAGGGACTTGTCTTTGGATACAATCTCTCTAACCAGTTCTGCACACCTCTCCTCTGTAGGGGGCTTCTGCACGACTCCAGTCAAGTCCTCCATGGCTGTATCTCTTTTCTCCTGCATACTAGCATCCATTTCTTGCCCGGTGGATCCATTGCTCCGGCTGTACTCATCATAACCCACAGCACTGGCTGTCTGTGTACTGATCACCTGGCTGGCTGGGTTAGGTTCTAGCTCTTCCTGCTGTATGCTGCTCATTGACCGAAAATCAGTGGATGTTGTCTGTTTACTTACAGCTTCAGTGTCTCGATATTCAGTTGTAAGGAAAGGCGGCTCTTTGACTGCTGAACTTTCACAAAGGTCATTCACATCAGCTCTCACCTCATTATCATACCCTGGAAGATCTTCATCAGATGGCTCCAAGCTTAAAGAAAACAACCACAAGTCACTTAGCGTCCAAGGACTAGAAATCACACTAGATAATATGATACAGATATGTGCTGCAATAATGAAAGCAAAAAAAAATTAAATACAAAAAGTAAACTTAGTCAATGCACCAAGCTAGAGAAAAGGACAACCCACCCCCTAAGACTTTTCTATTTTCCAATTGTTATGAACCAAAGTACATGTCCATTTCTCTTCTGGCTCCTGAATTCCACCTACAACCTGGCCTTTGTAGCTAGGAAATGCAATATGGAAACTGAGGGGGAAAAAAAAAGAGTTTGCCTGGCCAATGAAAGCATATTATAGGACAGATTTAAGCATCATAAAGTTATGTAGGGGTTAAAGTCAGAGCAATACATATAAAGCTTTCCAAATTGTTGAAATCAGCTGCTCCCTTTTCTATGTACTTGTGCTGCATCCATTCCCCAGTCGAGTTGGATAGATGATTGTGGTGGGTTCTCAGTGGCACATAACCTTAGCATGGGTAGACCTCCCACTGACTTTCATTCTCAGTAAGAGGTCTATGGCCAGACTTAAAATCCAAGCACTTTTCTAAAGTGCACATTTTACGGAGTAGCTGGGAGATCAAACCTATAAATAAATGTGTAAAGCCTTCTTGCTCCACAGTTAAACCAGCAACGTCATACAGTTATTCCTAAAGGCAAAGCAAAGATTACAGCCATTTAACAGGTGACGGCAGATGGATAATGCAAGATATAGGTCACCGATATGAGTTCTTTAATAAATAATACTACAATTTTTTTTAAAAAGGCGAACTTGAATATCAAAACATAAGTAATATCAGACTTTTTATTCAACCATTTAAAGTATACCAATTTCAGAAATAAAGTAGGAAATCCCTTCAGCCCCTTAGTAGCTGTTAACAAAGAGGATCCCCACACTAAGACTCTGACTACTCTGGCCATTCACAGACACCCTAGCAGTGTGCCAGCCCCAAAGACACCTGTTGCTCACGTCAGGGCTAATTTCGCACAATGCATGACCGCTGGGTGTCATGTGCCAGTCTACGACTGATGGCATTAAAGAGCCACATATTGAGTATCTGAAAGCAGAGGGCCTCTTGGAATGTGCAGAACAAGATTTCCACTCTTTCTGTAATTGGGAGCCCCTCTAGTGCTGCTCTAAAACCTTTTTTTTGTCTAAATAATTTCTATAAACACACACACAATATAACTTTCAGAGAAAAGTAGGTTTAGAACAAGGCACAGTACATGACAACATTATTACTTTGACTACTTTATGCCTTAGCGATTGCTGAAAACCCTAACAGTCTAGAAAAACCAAACATATGTACACACACTTTCACAGATTATAAACACAGTATGTTATTTAATGAGTTCTATTGGAGAAATTGTTATTTATCTGTAATTTGCAAAAACATTCATAAAAAGATTTAAAAAAGTAAGAAAGTGGCAATAGAAGATTAGTGTACCAACAACATTATGTGAAGCAATATTTAGTTTTGAACCAACATTGGTAATATGTACAACAATAATAGGTACCTAAAGCCAAAACTTTCTCTTTCAGTTATGGATAGAGTGTTAAGGGTGTAGAAATCCTGTCATGTTCTAATTACTGTCAGTATTCTTGCTAGGGAGATTTACAATCTCTACTTGTCCTGGTGACCATTGTTACTGGGATTAACTGTGAGAGAAAATCCAACATTCTGAGTTGTCACCAAAACAGGAATAGAGGTGAAATCTTCCCACATTATCACTGTCTCCAAATTGGGCATTTCTCTCACTTCGGAGAAACTTCCTCTTACCTTATATTGTGTCTATGGTGTGGTGCCTATCCCTACTGGTTCAATTTTTAAGTATTTCACTTATGTTGTGTCTATAGAAGGGACCTTATGTTGTGTCTACAGAAGGGGAATTTAAGGGAATACCCTCCAATTAGACACAGATTGAAAAAAAAAAACAGGATTTAACCTTTCCCTATTCTATCCAAAAAAGTTTGGCTTTAGATATACCTTAAGGGAAACCCATCATAAGACTAGTAACCTCTCCAGAAAATGCTAGTTGTCTGGCTGTCACATTGACCCAGTGGTTTCATTACATTCTGAGCCACTGATCAGAAGCTAGTATGTACTATAAAACTTATCTGGTTTGCAAATTTATTCTGGACTAGCGACTGACAAAGTTTGGAAACCAGTGTGACCAGCATTTTCACAAAGTCAACATGACAGGCAAGGCCCTATATTTCTCCAAGTCATGGACAGGTTTAATTTAAGCCTTTAAAGTGACACTAAACTCGAGTTAAATCCTAAAAATACATTCAAAGTACCTTAACTATTGACCAAAATGTATCTTATTTGTGCATCCCTCAGCTGTAGATCCTCAGATTATCTCTGAATTGGTGCCGACACTGCCCTTCCTTCTGGAGGGTGGCTACTTCTGTTCCCCATGGTCCTTGTGTGTTCTAAAGTAGACACCTCTCCAAACTCACTCCTGTGATGGACTACAATCTTATGTTTAGTTTATGAATTTGTATAGACATTGTGATCTATTATGGGAGTGAGCTTGGAGCATTGGCTACTTTCTCCAGAAGGAAGGACAGTATCAGTATAAATTCAGAGATGATTTGAGGATCTACAGCCGAATGATACACAAAATCAAATACATTTTTGTTAATAGTTGAGGTAGTTGAATGCATTTTTAAGATTTAACGCCTGAGTTTAGTGTCACTTTAATTTTTATTCAATATTAGAAAAGCTCAAACATTGTAATGGCTGCACACATTACCTTGCTATATGTGTATTTAGATGAAGAGGTAAGGTACCATGTGATGGTGGATTGTCCTCAGCAGTATAGTGTATGTCCTGTTCCTGCTGCATGCAATTAAAAACTTTATCCTCTACTTTCATGCAGGGTGAAATCTCAGCAGCCATGGGGTAAAACTGTGAAGGAGGAGTGCTGCTGGAATTGTCTGAGGAAACAGCACTTGTTCTCTGGGACCCGGAATGTTTCTCTTGTGCCGACTTTCCAACAACTGAAATGTGGGGCTCCAGAAAATCCTCCTGACTTGTTTGTCTGGGCTGCTTTCCTGATTCATACTCCGCACAGGCCTTAAGGTGGTCTTGATGGAGCACAGCTGTGCCGCTTGTAGATTCTGGCCGTGGTACGAGTGTGGCGACTTTAACGTGGTAAATCGGATCACTGCTTTGACTCAGCACAGAAAGCCTCGTTTTGTTTGAAGTTCCCAATTCTTCCATGGATTTCCCCCGATTTCTGAAAACATTTTCTGTCTCACTTGCAGCATTATCTCCCATAACACATAATCTATGTTGGATGAAAACATATAAAATCGGCATTACTATCACACAAGCATATGTCAATTTGTAAATATGGTGTAAAAAATGATTTTAAAATTCACAATGTAAAACAATCCTTTTCAGAGACTGAATGACCAACAATGAGCTAAAGAATGACCAAATGCTACCTCAATGCCACACGAGGAAGCTTTTTCACTCAATTTACTCCACAATGTGTGTTTGGTAGTTTGAAATCACAAACCAACCACGGATGAATGCTCAGCAACAGCAAGTGTATGGCCAGGTTGAGAATCTGTCATATTTTTCTTCTCCCTCCTTTTTAAAGATTTCCCCAACACACACAAAAAAAAAATATGTATATAATAACAATAATAATTTTATATATATATATA